TCATAAGTTTATTTTTTCTTTTCCGTGCCGTATTCTCATAATTATTCTTCGTTTTTGAGTTTGTTTCAGTTAAAATCAAGAGGTTCGTTAGGGAAAACATAAAAAGTTGCGTTATAACTTGGCATGTACGTTTTGTAGCTAAAGCCGCCGTCTACACATAAAATTTTACCTGTCAGTTTTGTGCGTCAAATAAAAAAGCGTCTAGAAAACTGACTGTAGTTCTCGAGACGGTCGTCCATCTTATCCCCGTCTACATATCTTGTTTTACCTCTTAGGGAGAAGGGAGAATCAAAGACCTGTATCTGAGACGGTTTTTCAGAGGTTAGTTGTCCATCTCTGATATCAGTCGTACCAAAGTTTATAGCAGGAATGGCTGTCGTCTCGGCGCACTCAGTACTCAGTAATAAGGTGTTTCTCTCATCAAAAGTGTCTCATGTAATCAATGGACGCCTCCTAGTGTATGTCAATAGATTTTACAACAGCACGACAGAGTTTCCAGACGGTCACCCGTCCATCCACTCGCATCGTCTAACGTCGCTTAACTCCATTGACGGCGTCTTCTCTACGTAAATAGTGGCACTAACGCCATAGATAAATGAAACAAGTTTAGATTGTAAAGTGCCATAAGGACAATGTAAACACTATTTGGAGCTATTTTTGAAACGGTCGCGACCCAAATCTTTTGAAAATTTCGGAGATGTTCGGCTTTTTCCGGAATTATGTCGCCAAATATTGTTTATTCAAATTTATTATAATTTTCGTTTAATTTTATAAATAAAATACAGTGTGTTGTATACCGGGTGTTGCATCGTCGCGGTCGAGCGGGACATAGGAAATCCCATGTAAATTTTAATGGGGTCAATTATTGGCTTCCCTAATTATTTTAGAGAATAATTCTATTTAGGTTTATTGAAGAGCACTAAAACCCACATTCAAAAGAATAACTTTAGATATTTTTGATTAGCCCGTTTACGAGTTATCGCCGATTTCTTTTTAAATATTTCTCCTTTCTTATGGCCCTGTATTTACTTATGAGCACCAGTCAAGGTAAAAGATAACTGTCAAATGAAGTTGTCATTTCAGAAATTTATCTATTTAGTGCTTTATTATTATTATTAAAAACTCATACCTACATCGAAAATATTAGCCATGAATTACACTACCGAAGAAAAAGTATTGATGATTAAATGGTATTATCAAGGAAATAGTTATCAAAAGGTGTCGGACATGTTTGCTGCTCTGTATCCGAATAGACCGATACCTGGAAAATCTACAATCGCAAGGAATATCCAGAGATTTGAGACCAAAGGTACCCTAATAAATAACTGCAGATGTGAAGCAAGGCAGGAACAAAGAGAAGATGCAAGAAATGATACCGACTTGGAAGTTTTATTGTGCGTGGAAGAGAACGATGGAAAGATCAGCACAAGGAAACTTGAGGATGAAATAGGAATAGATCACACTACAGCGTTTCGAATTTTGAAACGACATAAATACTATTCCTTCAAATATGAAAAGCACCAAGAGCTACGAGATGGGGACGAAATACGGCGGCAGGCGTTTTGTTTTGATATGATGGAAAGAGCAAACACGGATAGGGAATTTTTAAAAAACATATGTTTCACTGACGAATGCACGTTTACCTTAAATAATGAACCCAATGTTCAAAATTATCGATATTGGAACAAAGAAAACCAACACAGGTTTGTCGAAACAAGGACGCAATATCCACAGAAAGTAAATGTTTGGGCAGGGATATTCGGACACAATATTATCGGGCCATTATTTCTTACGCGAAATTTAAATGCAGAATATTATTTGGAACTACTCGAAAATCATATTTTACCTGCTTTACATGATGCCGTTAGGGAAAATCAGGAAGTTTGGTACCAAATGGATGGCTGCCCGGCACATAGTACCCTGGCTGTTCGGGAATACTTAGACAATAGTTTTAACGGAAACGTTATTGGCCTAAATCATACAGTAAATTGGCTAGCAAGGTCTCTTGATATTTCGCCAAATGATTTCTTTCTCTGGGGCCATTTAAAAAACAGGATATACAAGGATAAAAAATACCCAAATCTAGACGAGTTAAAAAATGCTATTTCTGCCGAATGTAATAGAATTTCAGTTTACCAACTAGCGAATGTAAGAAGAGAATTTTATGATCGCCTGGGTTATTGTCTAGCAGTAGATGGAGGAATATTTGAACATCTTCTTAAATCCTAAAGTTCTAACAATTTAATAGTAGATACCTAAATTAAGAAGTTATTGAATATTGTAATAATACTATAATTAACCTTGTAATTGATTACTTTATTTTACTTTAATTCATATTAATGTGTATTTATAAATACATTTTTAAGATTTCCGATGTAGGAATGAGTTTTCAATAATAACAAAGCTCTAAATAGGTAAATTTCTGAAATGACAACTTCATTTGACAGTTATCTTTTACCTTGACTGGTGCTCATAAGTAAATACAGGGCCATAAAAAAAGAGAAATATTTAAAAATAAATCGGCGATAACTCGTAAACGAGCTAGTCAAAAATATCTAAAGTTATTCTTTTGAGTGTGGGTTTTAGTGTTCATGAAATTTAAATAGAATTATTCTCTAAAATAATTAGGGAAGCCAATAATTGACCCCATTAAAATTTACATGGGATTTCCTATGTCCCGTCCGACGATGCAACACCCGGTATAAGAAACTTTATTTTATATAAGAACATGTATGAAATACCTATGAAACATTGGAAACCGATGTTATGCCACGATTCACGATGGTTTTTGCAATTCACAGTTCACAACACAGTTTTTTAAGATTTTGCCACTTTTTCACTATTATCAAGGGTTTGAGTAAATAAAACTTAAATTAAACTCACAAGATAGCAATAATTACTTTGAGAATGGACAGTTTAAACACTTTTCGGTATTTTTTTCAATTAGGGCGGTTTAAATTTTGAAAGATTTTATAATTTTTGAAGATTCTGACTTTGACAAGAAAAAATCATTTCTGTTATAGTTTACGGTTGTTCTTAGCAACCGCTAAGGCAGCGCCAGATCGCGTACAACGCGCAACGGTCGCGACCAAAAACAATTATATATTTTGACGGGCTTCCCAATCTAAATTTATTTCCTTTTTCTATTACTGTCCTCCATTCACGCAGTTGTGCTTTGAACTGTTCAAGAACGCGATACTCTCACTCCATTCAATTGAGTCATAAAGTTCAGAACTGTTCCGCTCCCTGTGGAGGCACCAGGCTATCGCGCACAGCTCCTTTCAGAACCGTTTTCGAGTAGCCCAGGGCGTAAAGCTCTGGAACTTGAAATTCGCGAATGGAGGACAGCAAATGGCTAGCGCATAAACACTTATTATGACACTTTAACTGTCAAAGTTGTCAAAATAACTAGTTGCCATATCTCTCGCATATTTCTAATTAGTTTTTGTGTAAGTTGGTCACTTAACAGCATAGCTAATTATAAAGTTGAAGAGAAACAGACGTCGTAATATCGCGTTTTCTATGCAAGTATCGATTAGTTCCAGTTAAGCATCTTTAACGCTATACGCATATTATGTAAATTATTTAACGAGAAGGGTACCACTGTGCGCCATTCATTTAGAAAATTATGTCTCAATGGTCCAGTTGCTCTCCGAGTTTGCATGCACTGAATACATTTCAATGGCATTATCCGAGAATAAATTCTGAATAACTAAAAGTAGGTGTAGACAAAATTTTCAAAATAATCAGTTAGTCAGAGTACCATGGCTGTGTTAAAAACACTAACAACAACAACAAACAACGCTTTATTGTACAAAAAGCCAAAACGGCTTTATCGACAAAGCACTCACAAAACAAACAAAAGCACAAAAAAATACAAACAACAAAAAAAAACACAATACAGATAATACAATTCAAATAAATTTAAGTCATTAAAATAAAGTTATAAAATATTAAATACTTGACTTTTGACCAGTATGTGAGATGATCAAAATTTTAAAATTCAAAATTGTTCATAATTAAACATCAACAAAAAAGTCGTTTACCGTATATAGGGCTCTCTCCAGTAAGTATGATTTTAGAGCTTTGCGAAATGCGGGAAAGAATGAAAGCGACTTGATATTCAAAGGCAGATGATTGTACATTTTTTTGGCATTGTACAGTATTGAACCTTTAACTAGTTCTGTGCTCCGCATTCCTAAGTGGATAGTTATGAGATGGCCTTTCCGGAAGATATGTGCTTGCGGATTAAGCAAACGGATTCAAAAATGAATAAGGAAGGAAGAGTCAGTATTTTGAAATTTTTAAAGAAATTCTGGCAGTGAGTTCTACTGTTCAGTCCCAATAAATATCGAACTGCTCTCTTTTGAAGTCTGAAAATACGATCAAATTTTGTTGCGTAGCAAGTGCCCCAGAATGAAAGGGCATAACGAAGATGTGACTCAAAAAGGGCATAATAGGCTATTTTAGAGGTTGAGAAGTTAAGTTCCTTAGAAACTGATCTTAGCGCAAAACAGGCAGCTCTTAGTTTCTTTGATAGAGCTTCGATGTAAAAGTCCCATTTTAACGAGTTGTGTACAACAAGTCCTAAGAATTTCACAGAGTCCACAACGTCAATAGTGGTGTTATTAAGTACAAAAGGTTGTATAGTACTTTTATATGACAAAACTTTAGTTTTTGATAGGTTGAGGTATAGGAGATTAGAATCGCACCAAGATTTAATGGAGCGTAAGTCACTGGATATAGTATCATATGTGCCGTAACATCTGGGCCGCTCCAAGTGAAACTAGTATCGTCCGCAAAGAGGCACATTTTACCGCTAATGTCTAGATTTGCAATGTCGTTAATTTTTTATCAAGGAGCCTTGGAAAAATATAGGTAGTGTAGTTTAAAAAAACCTGTTAGGAAGAAACCTGTCGTTGAAAGTGAAGATTGCAAGATATCAGCTACCAACTTAATAATAGGTCTCTATTGAAATCAGTTAAAAATAGTAAACTTACCAGATATAAACACACAAACAGTACTATGTCCACTATTTTCCTTTTCGATATCATTATTACAATTTTATGTTATAGTCACTATAGTAAGTTACACTAAAAAGATACCAAAATTTTTAAAAAAAATCTGCAGTGTCTTTGGTACCGCACATATACGAACCAAAACAATAGACTAACGCGCGCCAAAACAAACGACGTCCGCCGGTGGCATGCCACGGTCAAGGTGGTTCTGAATGATGGTACTGGTCGATGGTGGGTTGCGCTACCGACTGAAGACTAGACGGGAAAGCCGGTACCGGCGGTGCTTTAACTCGGTTTCCGCGTTTTTCCACACAGACAGCTGATGATGGTAGTACCGATGTTGGTAGGTAGCTTTGGTGGTACCAATTCGCTTGGGCAGGAAGAACCTGGCGGCGTTACGGCCCGTTTAGCGCGCGCGAGAAGCCTTAGCGGGGTACTGTTACATTATGGGAACCATCGAGGTACTAGCTTGTTGAAAATGTGGATATTTTTATTGTTATATGTAAAAATTTATTGATTAAGGTGCCCGGTGGCGTAGAGGTACAGGCTCTCGTCTACCAATCTCAAGGTAATGGGTTCGATTCCCACACCCGGCATTGCATCAGCCGACTATTTTTATTAAAATAAAAATAGTTTGGGTACCTAGGTCGACTCAGCCTTAAATGAGTATTTGGGATTCACAATCCTGAGGTAATAATAGGCGGTTGAAGCGTAGTGCTAGCCACATTACATTCCTTGTATAATGAACGGCTCTAGTATGGCAAGCTGTACCTTGCTACTCCCAAGGCGTTAAACGCTATATACGGGAGCAATTATTATATATATGTAAAATTTTGTACATCAGATTTATACTAGATTAAATTAGGTTCTTGAGGTGGATATCGGTCAATTCTACTGCGGCCTTTACGGATCTTTGTGGTGCTCTTCTCATCCTTAGGTTATATTCGGTAGTTTCCTCGGCAGTTTCCGTTAACTACCGAGGAATTTCACTACTGGTTATCGGAGGAAAAGTTCTCGCAAAAAATATGTTAAACCGCCTTCACCCTCATATAGAAAAAATCCTCCCAGAATCGCAAACGGGCTTTCGCACCAACCGCGGTACCGTTGATTCCATATTCTCCCTCCGCTAACTACAGGAAAAAGTAAAGGAACAGCAGAGTAAACTTTATGTTGCCTTCATCGACCTAACGAAAGCCTTCGATTCTGTAAACAGAGATGCACTTTGGGCAATTACGCAAAAGTTCGGAGTGCCCAACAAATTTCTTACTGTGTGTAAAAGCCTCCATAACAACAACAAGTCGAGAGTGTCACATCATGGATCACTGAGCAATTCCTTCCTGACTAATACAGGAGTTAGGCAGGTATGTGTCCTAGCTCCTCTCCTATTCACCATATTCATGGCAGCGCTCTCTATCATAGTGGACAGCAAACTACTGGAAAGAGGAATGGGTGTTAGATACAGGTATGACGGCGGTCTGTTCAACATAAAAAGACCCCAAAACACGTATAAAATTCATCACAGAACTCCAATACGCTGATGACTGCGCTCTAGTTGCAAATACGTTACAGCAATTACAGGAAATGGTGAACACATATACCTGGGCATACGAGACTTTGGGCCTTAAGCTGAACATCGATAAAACTAAAATCATGTGCACTTCCCCGGAAAATCATAGCAATGCTATAGAAGAACTATTGGAATATGTAGCGGAATTCATTAACGGGAATTTGGCCCGACGACTGGTGCAGCTCGCTATATATACCACTATATAAAAAGGGTAATCCGGCAGACTGCAATAACTATCGAATGATTGCTTTAATTCCTCATGCATGCAAAATTCTCCTGCAGATTATTAACAACAGACTCAGGCCATATCTACTACCACAGATTGCAGAAGAATAAACTGGCTTTATGCCTGGTAAGGGTACCAGAGAACAGATAGGGAACGTACGACAGTTAATAGAAAAAGCGCGAGAATTCAGCATAGAAATGTATCTCTGTTTTATCGACTATTCTAAGGCCTTCGATCTAGTCAAGTGGCAAAAACTTTGGCAAATACTCAAGGAAATGGGGGTTCCTGATCACCTTATTCTACTTATCCGACAACTATACCAACATAATTACGGACTTATAAGAATTAATGATGTCACATCAAATAGATTTCAAGCAATGAAGGGTGTCAGGCAGGGGTGTGTTCTCTCACCCCCTATTGTTCAATATTTATACCGAGTACATAATGCGTGATATTCTCGATAACTGGCAAGGTGGAGTATCTGTGGGGGAAGGAAAATCAATAATCTAAGATATGCCGACGATACACTAATCATAACAGCAAGTGTGGAAGAAATGGAATTTATTATGCAACGTCTCCAAGAAACTAGTACAGAATTTGGGCTAAAACTTAATCCTAACAAAACTACTGTCATGATTGTGGACCGACAAAACAACAACCAACCTCACGTGGGAAACATAGCTGGATTTAAGGTGGTTAATAAATACTTATATCTGGGATCGCTAATCGATAACAGCGGCTCATGCGAAGGCGAAATAAGACGTAGAATTGCGTTGGCTAGAACAGCCGTAACTAAATTAACTAAGATATGGAAAGATACAGCCATCACTAAGAACACCAAACTAAGACTGCTGAACTCGCTTGTTTTCCCGATTGCTACGTATGGGGCGGAAACATGGACGCTGAAGAAAAGCGATACCAGGCGAATAGATGCTTTTGAAATGTGGGCATATAGACGTCTGCTACGTATACCTTGGACAGCCCATCGGTCGAATGAGTCAGTTCTCCAAGAACTAAACTCACAACTCAGCCTCTCAAAAAAAATAAACCGATGTTTTCTGACATATATTGGTCACATTGCTAGAAGAACGGACTCACTGCAGCTGCTAATAGTCGAGGGAAAGGTAGAGGGAAAGCGACCACGAGGAAGATCACCCAAGAGATGGGTTGATCAAACTAAAGACCTAATCGGCCAAGGCCTTCATGAAACCGTCAGCATGGCTCAAAACAGAGCGGACTGGCACAATACGATAAAAACCGCTACAGGAACATCATAGTCACTAATCCCTCTTCAGGGAAACGGACCAAAGAGAGAGAGCGGAATTCAATTACCTCGGCAGCTTGATTTCGGAAAAGACCAATATCGAGTCAGAAATTCAGCACAGACTTAGCAGCGCCGAAAGAGCTTTCTGGAAATTAAAAGACAGGCTTTTCTACAATCATGACTTAAGCACAAAAACGAAACTTGCAGTGTACCGAGCTATAATAATCCTCACCATGTTATATGGAAGCGAAACCTGGGTGCCGTACCCGCCCCATGAACGCATTGAACAAGGTGCAACAGAGACATCTTAGACAACTGTTAAAAGTAAATGGTACCACCAGGTCTCAAACGTATCAATCCATGAAAACGTTAGTTGCGAGAGCGCTGAAGTCATGATTAGTAAATCCCGCTGGTCACGTATGCAGGATACAAGAAAACCGTCTACCGAAATCTCTTGGTGAGCTTGTAGACCGTAAGAGGAGGCCGGGTGGACAACTGAAAAGGTACAAGGACATTTTCCACGAAAACTTAAAGAGGATTAACATGCAGAATGAGTGGGAAACAGCAGCTCACAATAGAACACAATGGAGAAGAGTTGTAAACTCAGTTAACAGCGACAACCAAAAAGTAAAGAGGCAATAAAATAATGATATTTTTGAATGTCCGGAGTGTGGAAGAGAGATAACATTACGTATCGGACTTTTCAGTCATAGAAAAGCTCATGAAAGAAAACGCCTTGTGTAACCATTTTAAGATGTGTGTCAAATACTCTTCAGCGATAATAAGCGCAGTAATAAGTAATAGTAACTTTTCTCTAGCTTAGTTTATCGATGGTGTTTAGCCAGTATGTAGAGCATGAGCAACGAAAAAGGAGCGACAGGTACCTAAACCTTGCCATTGTGTTTGTTTTTGTCAATACGGAATTCCATAACAGAACTAAAATATTTTCTTCAATTTGAAACTTAATACAATAAACGAACTATAAAGTTAATTAGATATTGTTTTAATAGTATAACAAATTCTAGAATTATTAATCTCCAAGCAAAAATAGGCAAGTTTCTAAAACACCCAAGTTCTAAAATTGAAAAATTTGCAAGACTTGCAAGAATCTTGCAGCGAGAGCAAGATCAGGACTGGACGCTGCACGACCAAGATAAGACTACTTATTAGACTGCAATACCAAAACCAAGAGAGTCTTAGTCTTGGTCTGGGTCTTGCAATATTGTATAACTATCTTTTGTATGTAAGTTGCATCTAATATAGAAAAAAAGGAAATACCACTCCTGCAACTCCCAGTGGACGATATGCCAAGAACGTACAACTCTGACAAACATGTCAATGTAGTATTGAGCAATAAGAAGGATTGGAAGAGCGAAACGCTTGCCCAGCAGTTAAAAGACCATACCATAACTTGGTATACTGATGCTTCCAAAACCAATACGGGAACAGGGATCGGAGTGTTTGGGCCGAGAGCTAATTACTCCGAACCAATGGGCACTTACCCTAGTATCCAACAGGCAGAAATCTACGCTATCGAGAGATGCGTACAACTTATCTTAGATAGGAACTATCGGAAACAAAAATAGCCATCTTGTCTGATAGTCAAGCAGCGTTAAAGGCGATCAACTCAGTATCAATCAATTCGAAATTGGTCAAAGAATGCATAGAGAAGCTGAATAAATTAGGCAAAGAAAACAAAGTCCTCCTACACTGGGTGCCTGCTCACCAAGGGATAGAAGGCAATGAAAAAGCAAATAATCTAGCTAGGAAAGCAGCGAACACTCCACTAACTGAACCAGAACCGTTCTGCTTTCCAAGTGGTAACCAACTCAAGGCGGAACTCAAGAACTTGGAAGATTCCATCCGCAACCTGGAATGGAAATTTTCCAATGGTCTAAGACACTCGAAGAAGTTTCTGAGGGCTTATGATCAAGAAAAATCACAGATCTTCCTGGGTCTGAGTAAGAACAATCTTCGGATTGTCACGGGGTTTTTAACAGGACACTGTCTCCTCAATGAACACCTCAGTAGATTGAAACTAAGAAGAAACGGCGAAAGCAGATTCTGTGGGGAAGATGGGGAAACACCAGTGCACCTCATCACTGAGTGCGCCGAGATGACAACCATTCGTGCCATGAATTTTGGGACGACTGATATTGGAGATGGACAACAACCCTCTATAAAACCGTCCCAGATACTGGCTTTTGTCAAAGCCCTGGGACTGTATGATGAGTTATGATTCAAGAAAGAGGGACACAATGGATCTGTAAGGTCGAAGTGATTAACCCCCCTCCCACTCATTCTAAATTCTAAAAAATTCTAAAAATCTAATATAGAAGACGCTCTGACCAGATTCCATTTACCGTAATTTCCATATTGCGTGAAATTCTTCGCCAGTCCGTCGTTCGATAACAATGATTAATTTAATTAATTTTACAGCCGCGATACTAATTACCGGCATGTGGTGCCTATCGAGCTGAAGACGGACAACGGCTTCAAATCATATAGACCAGCCATTAGTTACCGGTTAAGCTTTTCGGAAAATAACTAAAGGAAAATAACTATAGGAAGATAATAATTTGGAAAAAATTTAAATTTCATATTTTTTTTATGAAATAGCATCACTTGAGAGCCTTATGTGAACGATTAACAATAAATGAAGTATATTCGATATCATTTAAAATTGGCTAACTGGAATTTAAATTTGGCGCTGGGGATTCAGGTGGTAGCTCTGCTGTAAACAATGCCAAGTTGCAGCATATATTTATTTATTTTCTGACATTCTGACACTTAGTTTTGTATGGCGAGTTTTTGGTTTAAATAAACAGTGTTGTGATACTTAAGCTTAAAAATGTTTACTAGCAGACCTTGCAGTCGAACATTGTTCTTTTTAGAGCTTCTTTTAGTGCGAAGTGTACAAGATAGCTTAATAGCCGTAAAAAACTCATCGCAACTTTATTAGAATATTTTGAACGGGAAAGCGGCAGTAATTATGTCCTTTAAGTGCTGTTAAGTAGGTCAGTTTTGTTGATGTAAATAATAACTACTTAGTGACTAAAAGTTTATTTGGTATGAACTGTAGTTTCATAGTTTTACATAAATTTAATAACAATAAAATACATAAATGTAATATGAAATAAAATAAAACAATATATTTCTCACATGACGCGACGGATAACCAATAATTATTGACGTGTGCTTTAACAAAAATTGTTGTATACCGTTAAGCTTAATGAAACCCCTGTCTTTATACTCATGCAATTTATTTGTTAATGAAGAAATTCAATTGTGCATACGTTACAAACCCTTCAAAAAGAAAATAAACTTATCTTTGACAATGCTAACTTCGTAAACTATTAAAAAAAGCAATTTCGAAAGAACTAAGAAACATCAGGATGTCATTAATAACAGTTGTGTTCAATGATTGCATTCATTTATTACAAAGATGGAAGGCAGTGACTGGTATGCGTATGCAAATGACAATTAAAATAAATATTTTCGAAATAACTTTGTTTTTCATTGCAGAATTTTCTGCATTAGCGGTCACTCTTTACAAATATAATATTGCAGTTAACAGAAATACCGTATGATCGAAAAAAAACGGCGTCCAGTTGGCTGGGAAATGAACATCAATGACATTTCCCATATAAATTTACATATAGAACGACAGCGATCTTCATTCCATAGCCATCGCTGACACCGTTTTTTCTCGATCATACGGTATTATAATCATTTTAGTTTAAATATAGATGTCGTAGTCTCATAGTGTATTCCGTCTTTTCATGAAGATCCTAATCACTTCAAGAAATAAACTAACCTAATAACTTAACTAAACTAACTAATTTAAAGAAGGCATCCATTTTTCTCAAAGAGACCTGGTTCAAATTAAAAAAGTAGAAAAAAGACTCAAAGTCTCGGTCTCAACGTTTATACAATGTTAAACTGTTACACGTGTTTCGCTCATATACGAGCATCATCAGACAAACACAATTAAAATTAATCCAAATACACGTTCACATTTTACAATTAAAACAACCTAACAACCCCTTCGTTGTGTCTTTTTTCTACTTTTTTAAACTAACTAACACTATAAACTATCTTCATAAAAAGACGAAATAAACTATGAGACTACGATACAGACATATTGTTAAAACTGACAACATTTTATTATTCGATTTAGAACAAAACATGTTCAGCAAGTAAAAACATTCATTTATGGTAAACTGATGATAAATAATTAAATGTAATATAACTAATAGTTTCCGAGTTATTGACTTTTGAAAATATCACTTAAACAATTTGATTTAATTAATTTCGATATGTTCAGTTTCATTTAACGATGCCATTCTGCCGAAACCGTGATACTTAATAATATTCGACATTAGTTCTCAAGTTAGCATTTATAGCTGTATAAAATGAGAGTATATCAAGTCTAGAAATTACAAAATTTTCGTTGAACATTTCAATTCTTCAATTTATGTATATTGTGTATTACGATTATTGCTTAAAATTGAAGGAAGAATTGAAATATGCAATAATATACAGGGGGTTTCATTTAAAAATTTTTTTAATGTGACACAACTTTATGACCGACCCTGTATACTTAAATTTACTAGTAGTTAATAGGAATCTAAAAACCCATTACATCAGTATCACAGTTTCGGCAGAATGGCATCATGAAATCAAACCAAACACATCGAAATTAATTAAATCGAATTGTTTAAGTGATATATTCAAATTTTTGTGTGTATTTCGATTTTTGCTTAGAATTGAAGAAAGAATTGAAATATGTAATAATATACAGGGGATTCTATTTAAAAAAATAAAAATTTGATGTGCCACGACTTTATGAACGACCCTGTATAGTTAAATTTATTACTCGCTAATAGATATTTAAAAGTCCTATAACTTTTGTATTTAACTTTTTGCGGTATCTCCTATATTTTATCTAATAATCGACCGTTTCCATCAATAAAACATAGAAGCGGCCCTGTATATTTAATTAATAATTTTTAGTATTTCTTAAATCAGAATCAGAAGAAGGGGGACACGATATATCTACGTATAAGGCCGCGGTGGTTAACTTAACTCCCCTCCTGTACAATCTACAATCATTCGGATTTATTAATTGCTAAAACCTGTGAATTTAAAGGCAATTAACAAAATATCTCTCTGATTGAAATCCTGAATCAAAACCAATTAAACGAGAAGCGCCAAAAGAGTCAAGTGTGCCATTTCCGATAAAGACAAATAAATCAAATACGTAAACTAATTATTAGAAATTATTATGGAAAGTGCAGCAGTACAAGCGAGTGACATGGTTTTGCCAAATGCCTGAATTACTCCTATGGCGGTTTGCAGTTTCGATTTCTATTGAAGTAACGGACCGATAATTACAAAATTATTTACTATTAGTCGCCGACTAATCATGCGAGACCTTATTTACCGACTGATGAGCATATTTTCGTACTTTTTTTTCATTACCCGAACAACCATAAATTGGAATTTTTCTTTTGGCACAGTGACACAGATTATTCTCAATATTTCTTGTTTTTAAATTATTTATTATTCAGGAGGCAGTGACAGTCAACATCGTCATGGAGTTGCGGTCATTCTTGATGAGAGTCTTTAGAGCTCGGTGAGGAACTTCGTACCTTTTTCTCCTCGCGTTTTGCTTTTACAACTTGAGTCATACTGTGGTACACTCAATCTGATTCAGGTCTATGCTCCAACAGCGGATAGTGACGACGAGGAGGTGGAATCGTTCTACAAAGAGATTGATGAATTAACTAAAAGTCATGAAATTAACTAAAAACAAAGACGTTACTTTGCTCCTGGGCGACATGAATGCAAAGATTGGACAAGGTTCCTGTGGAAAATGGATTGGGCAGTATGGACTATGGCGGTTATGGCGAACGTAATGAGCGAGGAGATCGCCTTCTACAATATTGCCAAGAAAACTCCATGATAATAACTAATACGTTCTTCAAACTATCAAAACGTCGCCTATACACATGGAAATCGCCACGAGACAGTGAGAACCGCATAGTCCGAAACCAAATTGATTATATTATCCTCAGAGATACAGGAATGCAGTGAAAAGTGTCAAAACATACCCAGGAGCAGATGTAGGCTCGGACCACAACCTTCTGGTGACGGAGATTATGGTGAAGCTCAAGAAGCTGAAAGTTTTGTTGAACCAAAGATCTATTGATACCAGCCTACTAAGAAGTAATAACGCGAAAGTGAAGGTGTACCAAGGTATAAATGAAAACCTAAGTAAATTGATAAATTGCTGTTCGGCAACACAGAGCCAACCTGAAGACATGTGGCAAAGTTTAAAATCGGCTATTATAGAACCCTGCAAGAAATATCTGAAACCTGAGAAAAGAACAATGCGAAATGATTGGATGACTGATAAAATTTTGATGCTTATGGGAGAAAGAAGGAACCTGAAAAATACAGACAGACAGGAATATAAAAGAATACAGAAAGTCATCAAATATAAATATCGTCAAGCTAGGGAGGAGTGGATACAAGAGGAATGCACTGAAATAGAAAATCTGCAAAGACTTCACGACTCACACAGTATGCATAAAAAAATAAAAGAGTTTACTGGAACTGTTCGGAAGCAAAAATCGTACATTCTTACAAATGATGATGGAGACATTGTGTTGGAGATTAAAGATCAGTTGACTCTATGGGAACAATACATCGAAACCCTTTTCAACGACCAAAGAGAAGAAATCACTACCAGCATTAAAAATGAAATGGGGCCATCTATTTTAAAGGAAGAAGTGCAAGCGGCAATAAAAGCAGCCAAAGATGGGAAAGCGCTTGGCCCTGACGATCTACCTGCAGATGCGCTCAAGTTGATTGAAGAACAAGACTTAGGTGCTATCACTTCTCTATTTAATAAGATCTACGAAACAGGGATGATGATACCAAGGGAATGGCTCCAGTCGACGTTTGTCACAATTCCAAAGAAGCATAATGCCAAAAAATGTGAAGAACACCGCACGATCAGCCTTATGAGTCACACACTTAAGATCTTTCTCAAAGTCATCCACCGCAGGATTTACAGAAAATTAGAAGAAGATATAGCAGATACTCAGTTTGGCTTTAGAAATGGTTTCAGTACTAGGGAGGCTTTGTTTGCCTACAATGTCTTAATGCAGCGATGCCTTGATGTCAATCAAAACGTATATGTCTGCTTTATTGACTATAATAAAGCATTCGATAAAGTAAGACACAAACAACTAATAGAAGCGTTAGAACAAAAAAATCTCGATACAGATAAGAGATATACAAATAATAGTAAAACTGTACCTTAATCAAAGTGCGTCTGTTCGCGTCCAATCTGAACTGACAAGAGCAGTGGATATAAAACGAGGAGTTAGACAGGGATATGTTCTTTCACCACTCCTTTTCAACGTCTACTCAGAGGAAATCTTTAACTAAGCCCTCGAAAATGATGCTGGTGGAATACTAATTAACGGCATATCACTGAACAATTTGCTACGCGGACGATACAGTCCTTCTCGCTGAAAACATGCAAGACCTTCAGAATATGTTAAATAAAGTCATCATAACTAGTCGAGAATATGGTCTGACACTCAATGTTAAGAAGACGAAATACATGATTGTCACTAAAACTGGAGTACCCAATGAGCATCTGTACGCGGAAGGCGAGGAGCTCGAAAGAGTAGAGAGGTATGACTACCTGGGTACAAGTGTCGACTGCACCGCGGATTATTGTTCAGAAATAAAGATTCGCATTGAGAAGGCCCGTGCATCCTTTGTGAAGATTAAGAAGCTGCTCTGTAGCCGCGATTTGAGCCTAGATCTGAGAACTCGTATGCTCAAATGTTATGTATTCCCAGTCCTTTTGTATGGTATGGAAGCTTGGACCCTCAACGAGCTTTGCGACCTCTTGGCCATATCATGAGAGGCCCAAGGTATGAGATTTTGCAACTCATAATCCCGGGAAAAATTGTAGGAAAAAGATCTGTTGGAAGGAGAAGAATATCCTGGGCTCAGAAACCTGCGAAAATGGTTTAATGTCACGTCATCTGACCTATTTAGGGCCGCAGCTTCCAAGGTCAAAATAGCAATGATGATAGCCAACCTCCGATATGGAGACGGTACATAAAGAAGATTTCTTGTTTTATAGATTAACTCGCAGTCACTGAATGGAAATAATCGAATCCCTTTTTGTGTGTGTTTTGGAAGAATAACACTATTTTAATTTACTTTTTCAGTACTACCAATAGAATTGATGATGAATAATTTCAAGAAGCACAAATCCACAATATTTATTTTTTGTGAAAGCGTTTCGAAATTGACAGTTTTTGATATTTATTTGAGATTCGAAATGACATTCTTTTTGGTACTAGTTTCTAAAAGTGACACTTGTTTAGGCACTAGTGCCTAAAAGTAAAAAATGAAACGTTAGAAACAATTAAAATATTTATTTATTAAAAATCTTAAAGGTAACAGGAATTATTTGTCATCGGCTTCTTTCATAAAGCGTTCTATTTCCAGTTTTGTAAATACTTTTGATTTCTTTGCCTGATATCCGGAAGCTTTTCTTTTTAAAACTGCAATAAGGTTTGTGAATTTGCTAATATCTACGTTCCTGTTCAGGTTTTCAGTATGGCAATGGGATCATCTCATCTCTCCCTCCTTTATTAAGTAATATTTTTATGGAAGATTTTAAAAATAATACAATAAATAGTTTTTCGAAAAAGCCTGTATTATGGCTGCGTTATGTTGGTGATATTTTTGCTATATGGCAACATAACGTTTCTGAAATAGACATTTTTTTGGATTATATAAATTCTCGCGAACCTACCATAAAATTTACTTTAGAAGTAGAGTATGACAAAACATTAAACGAAATACAAACCCCAAATCATAGACACAATGGTATAACAATACACAATATATACAACTTACAATTCCATACATACGAGGGGTTTCGGAAAAAAATAAGAAGGATAGGAAAACAATATAACATACGAACATCTTTCAAAACACAAAATACACTTAGATCCATTTTATCACATACCAAACCAATGAATACAGAACAACAAACAAAAAATGTAATATACAAAATACCAGGTGGATGCGGTAAATTTTACATTGGTGAAACATCTAGACCCTTAAGACATCTTAGGACACAGGGCACAGAATAAATTTTAATAACGCTAAAATTATAGAATAGAAGAATAGAAAGAAAAAATAAAAATAAAAGAGGCTTATTTAATACAATCTAAATGTATTGCTCATGCATCTGTAGATGTTAGCAATGTATGGCGATCGCTTCTTTGATTTTAAAGAACTTAACGTAAATAAACATAACATGCGTAAAAATTAAAAATAATCATAGAGAAAGTTTGGGGCTTTTTGGTTTTACCTTATTAAGTAATTGTTATTAGGTAGTAATTGTTAATTTTGAAGTTTAACTTGATCTAATGTCATTTTAACAGAACGTCAACGGTTTTTAATTTCTTCGTTTTTAGTTTCTTTCGTAAACTCTTTTAATTTTCGTTTATTTCTTTTAATTTTTCTTTATTTTGTTAGTTTTTTAATTATTATGAACGAAGTGATGATAATGTGATTTTGTAATAAATTATTTACATGTAAATGAATTAAATATTATTAGTAAAAATTAAATAAATTTATTAATTAGGTTAGAATTTCTTTTAATCAGACGCTATCCTGATTAGAATTAATAGAAAATAGAAAGCTTATCAAAAACATATGTTTATTAATAAAAATAACATACTCTATGAATAACTTTTACTGTATCTTAAAAACGCCCTTATTAATCTGCATACCTACTTACCCTCATATGCAAATTAAAGAAAAACTGCGTTCATGTACTAGCATTGGCGAGTTCTTTGTTGAAATTTAATCGTTTTACACTGTAATAAACTGCAAAGCTCGTCATGAGCGGTTTCTCCTCCATAACACTTAACTCGTATCTATGTTAATTGGTAATTTTTGATTTGAATAAGAACGCAAACAAAGAGCTAGATATACTAAAGACTAATTTGAACTACATACTCATATTAAACAAAGTAGTAGTTCACTGAATTAATTGATAAATATATTACTTTCTCAATTTGGTGTATTCTGGTTTTATTTTATTTTTATAGTAAATAACGGGAAAGAGAAATTATTTGATGTTTACGTAGAGCACACATTTTAATTAAACAACTTAATATTAAATTAAAAAAAAACACTAAGAAAATAATCATATATACTGTTTTTATAGTGAAACCCTTTTTGTGTTCGATATGAATTACTACTGCCATTTATTACCTGTTATTTCTTAAAAAATTTCTATACAGGGTGGTACCTTTCATACGCCACGGAGGCTCCAAGGAGAACGACAGTTTGTATTGAAATTAAATTCTGTGAGCATATGTAGGTTAATTTAGGTTACTTTTTAAAAATATAGAGTGTTCTACAGGGTGTCCCCAAAAAAGTTACGTATCAAAGTTGTGTTTTTTGTAATGGAACACCCTATATATGAATTGATTTTTGGATTCTGGGAGAAAAATAAAGGTGAGTTTTATAAGAGAAGTATATGACTAAAATGTAAGGTTTTGGACATATTTAACATTTTCTAGAAATAAAGAACAATTTTTAAATTACAATAAAAGCTACCTAAATTGGAATTTACTCGGTATAGCCTAATATATAGTTAAATTAACTATTGTACTTTAAATCAAACTAAAACTTGATTCAAAAAGTTATACAGGGTGAGACAAAATTAATATTGAATATTGGTCACTTTTAAAAGCATGTTACTCTCTTATTTTAAATAGAACACCCAGTATATTATTCCGATATTCAATGGAGAATTCATGTCTCTTCAAAATACTATTAAACTTGCCTATCCCTCAAACAAAGATTTTCCCAGATATTTTCATTTACATGATTTCATCTGAGTATTATGAGATCTGAGATCTTTATTATTTTATAAAATCTAGGTAGCTGTGATGTCTGACGTTACTTCAACATAGCCGTCTAATTAGTCCAACTTTAATAACTAGTTAAAAACAAAAAAAAAATCTCAGAAATTTGCCGAGAATGCAAAATTAACCTACATCAGAAAGAATTGATATGATACTATTAGTTGGTGAATGCAGTTCAAAAATATAATTTAGGTAGCTATTATCGAAATTTAAAATTTACTATTCATTTTCGCAAAATGTGAAATATGTCAAAATCCTTAAATCTTAGGTATATGCTTGTTTAATAAAACTCACCTTTATTTTTTTCCTAAAATCCGAAAATAAATTAATATATAGGGTGTTCCATTAGAAAAAACACAACTTTGATGTGTAACTTTTTTTGGGGACACCCTGTATAATTCTATATATTTTTATTCAGTTAACCTAGATATGCTGCCAAATTCTCATTTCGATATAAACTACCGTTCTCCTTGGCCACCCTGTACTTATGTGGCGGATTCATCTATCAAAAAAATGCTATGGGTATTTTGACATTGAAAGAAAATCTACAAAATAAAATAGTTATCTTTTTAAACACTGCTGCGTTAATCCTGGTTAATCCAACGGAGACTAATTGTCAGCAGTGGCTTATTTTTTTCAAATTTTCCTAACGGACAAAAAAATGCTTAACGTTTCGGAAAGTTTTTCCTTCGTCGGAAGCAAAATGTCTTGGTTTTGCAATTGCCCATTACTATTTATAGTGTTCTAATGTATTTTGAAAGTAATTCGGTAGTTCATTTCTCCTGTAAACCATATTCAACCATATTTTATTAAGTGCGCTTGAATATAAAAATTTTGATCATGTTGTAGAGTAGGTAGTATTAACTATTAATGTCATTAATAAGTTTAATGTCATTAATAAGATTAATTAATCTCATTAAGTTTGTCATTAATTTAATGACAAACTTAATGAGTCAAAGAACTCAGTATAGTTGCAACAGGCACCTATATAGGCCTGCATATTTTTATTAGAAAAAACACGTCACAACATTCACAACTAATAAATAATCCATTTGAAAATAGACGGGAAATAAACAGTAGCGTAGTCTTTGCAATTTGTACTTGATTTTTTTTCTTTTCAAATCAAACAAGGGAGTATTTTAAACAAAACCCCCCATACAAAAAAATATAAAAAATAACTATTTCTTATTTTCAAGCTTCAAAAAACTTCCTGCATTTATTATTATATTTATCAATAAAACTTGTAAATGTAAAATATTTTATTAATAATAACACTGAATTTTATACCTTAAAAGTTGATTAATCTTAATTTTTTTAAACCAGTACCTTTTGTCATTATCTTTCTGCAGTACTGAAATATATTATTTACCTATCGTGTGATGTTATTTTACAGCTACTGCAGTTTTTAGTACCATATACGAGATGGCATACAAACTTTATTGACGGTAACTTTATTGGTGGCTAATCTAATAAAACTCTGTCTGGGCACTAAATATTAATTATAAACTGTGCTCTTGGTCTCAGTTAATTTTCCCTCGATCTTTCCTCTACTTAACTTTAAAAGACACAAAACGCACGTAATAAGACGAATCAAAATACAACATCTTCCAAAAAACGCAGGTTATTTGACATAATTTGACACAAATTATAACCTATAATTTGTTAAGACTTTGACAAGCCTCAAAAATCTTAAGTCGAGTTTCAAACATCGTTCATCGTTCCGTCACACGGTGGAGTATTAGCATGAAAAAGGTGTTCGAAATTCGAAAAAGCAAATGTGTTTAAGATTTCCCAAAAAAAAGATAAATGATAAGTTAAATGATGCCTGCAATGAATGGCGTTGCTGTGGGTGTGTTTAGTTGCATTCATCTGTTTCAACGAAACGTCAAAGTTGTTACCATGTTGTTACTTCTCACAGATAAGAGGTAAATGGCTAAATTTTATGTTTAAAATTATAAATTGTTGTTGTTCTTGTGCTCCTTTTACGTTTATATTATTGTTTTGATTGAAAATGGCTCAGCAAGCTGCAGGTATGTATTCTACAAAAACATATTATTTATTTTGATATTCTCTATACTAACGATTTTTTTTGCAACTGAAAGTTAGGCGTTCAGAAAATTTGATTAAATTTGTGACATTTTTATTACACTTAGAGATTTAGTTGCGCATTTCGAAGAATTCAGCATATTGTCTATATACGTTTACTTAGTAAACATTGGGCTTTCATACAGTAAAATAAAATACTGCGACTTTTTGCGACTTTGCTGATAAAATAAGAAAAACATTCTTGGTTTCCTCTAATTTGCAAATCAGTGATATACTAATGCGAGGTGTAAACTGCGATGGCATTGTTGTGTACAAAGCGATCGCATTAGTGCCATTAGCAGTATAGCACAATTTGGCATTAGTAGCGGCTTTAGTGGTATGGGCATTGGTCGCGGATCAGTCGTAGCATTAGTAGTATTAGTTGCGTAATTACTACTGGCATTAGTGGCATTGATCGTGGAAACACTGGAACAGTGATTTTTCTTCCTTTTCTTCAGAATCGACGAATTCTCCTTTATTTTGTTCATATTATTTCCCCTTTAATTGAAAATATCAATAATTTATATAAGGTCTACATAAAAAAAAATCGATCAACTATCGGTGTCAAATACCCCACTGTGCGTCACTCCAATGAGATATGATCTGTCATTTTGTAAATAAACCAATAAAACTGGTTAAAAACAATAAGAGACAACGCATGGATTTATATACCGGGTGCGTCTCAAAAGTCGCTTACCCCTATAACTTTTTTATTTGTTAAAAAAACGAAATTTTGTATATTCGTATATGACATAAATTAAGATTGATTGACGTATTCAATTGTTTTTTGTCACTTCCTGTTTCACCGGAAATGACTACAACTTTTGATTTTTAAATGGCACCCGCGGTATTTTTTTTTACTTTCTTCGATAGAAAATGACACTCTGAATAGAATGATATATCATATGTCAACTTTTGACATTTTCGCATATGGTTTATTTCAAATTGTAATATTCGGTTCATAACGACAATTTCACTCGAAATACCAAGTGTGTGGTACCAAATTATTCGTAAAAAAATGCTTTTTCCAAATATGCTAATAATAATGAGCCAACCTTGTCCCGTTTGAAAAAATTGAGATATGATTAAAAATACGATTTGGGCATCTTTTAACCGACCAGGACAAGACAGGAAAAACATTAAACGGTCAAATCTATTTTCCAAGGCTTCTTGATTAAAAATTAGTATTTTTAACACAGCCATGGCCATCTAGATTGAAATTTAAAATACGATTTTTCTTTAAGCAAAAATGTCAAAAGTTGATATACGATATGCCATTCTATTCAGACTGTTATTTTCTACCGAATAAAGTAGAAATATACCGAGGGTACTATTTAAAAATCAAAAGTTGTAGTCATTTCCGGTAAAACAGGAAGTGACCAAAAACAATTGAAAACGTCAATCGATCCTAATTTATGTCATATACTAACATACCAAATCTCATTTTTTTTATCTAAGAAAATAAAAAGTTATAGGGGCGAGCCATAGATATAAACCTATCCATAGTTAAAAACTTAAAAAATATTTGACCCGCTTTTTAGTGAAATAAATAGATTGGTATGGACGTCATCTGCTTTTTTTCTGTCATCGTCTGTCGAAATCTTACCTGAGAAAAAAAACAGAGTAGGTATACCACTAATTTTATCGTTCTGAATGCTCACATTGAAATTAGGGGGACAAACTTCTATGCTAATTGAAACCACGAATAATTTATCCCACTATGATCGAGGTTCTGAATGAAGCTTAAAGATTCTATAATTTCTAAACAAAAAGTTACCGATTTTACATTGTATTAGCCCACTGGCTGTTCGCAAAAATCGAACTTGGACCAGTGCGCGAGTGGGAGACACACGAAAAGTCGGGCGGGGAGATATTTCGAATTTTCCGATCCGCGGCCAACTTGACTTATTTTAAAACTCTTTAGAGCGGGTCGACGTACGTGAAAAGTGACTTTTTACCTTTTTTCCTTGCTTTGTGGTGTTGTGTGCGCGTGCATTTTCCAGGTGAGCATTGAGGAACAACGAAAAGAAAGAAGGAAAAGCGAAAAAGACAAATCGGGTGGACGAAATAGAGTTTCTTGTTCGATTGTTCAAAAATAGACCGGATCAGGTTTTAAAATAGAAATTTGACGGATTCTCACGTTTCAGTTTTGTTTGTTCTAAATATAATGCCGACGAAAAATCGAAGTGACCCAGGCAAACAGCGATCTTTTTTCTTTAATTATATACGACTTATATAAAATCATAATTAGAAATAATTACTTACATTTCACTTAAGTGTTAGAATTGAAAATAAATGAAATATAATTTTATGTTAGCAATTGCAACGATTCAAATTATGTTTTAGATTTTTTTTGGACATTTTCCTATAACGGAAAATCAACTCATTTGACTTAAATAACATCGAAGTTGAAGTAAATAACTACCGGGTGCGTCTCAAAAGCGGTTCACCCCAGTGGTTTTTATTTTTTTCAGATAAAAAAAAAACGAGATTTGGTATTAGACCGAGAGCTGGCTACATAAAAAACCTTATCATCGTTACATGGCTAATTTTTTGTGTGAAGTATCCTTTTGTGTAGCCATTGTGAAATAGTCATGTCTACCAGCGCGATCCCGGGGCTTAAAGCGGGAGCGGCCAATCGAAAGGGTGAAATTTTGACACTAGTATTTCGTGTCAAATTGTCGTTATGAACCGCATGTTACAATAATTTCAAATAAACCATATGCGAAAATGTCAGAAGTTGACATATGATATGTCATTCTATTCAGAGTGTCATTTTCTATCGAATTAAGTAAAAACATACCGAGGGTGCCATTTAAAAATCAAAAGTTGATGTCATTTCCGGTAAAACAGGAAGTGACCAAAAACAATTGAATACGTCAATCAATCCTAATCTATGTCATATACTAACATACCAAATCTTGTTTTTTTATCAGTAAAAATAAAAAAGTTCTTAGGGTGAGCCACTTTTGAGACGCACCCGGTATTGTTTTGATAACTATAACATTTTGAGAAAAATCCATTATTTATAAAAAAATTGCTTGCTCTAAAATGGTTAATCCCGTTTATACTTTTTTAAAGTTCCATACCGTTTTAGAGAAAAATAAACAAATATGAAAGTTGAGTTAAATTTTTCATAAGAAAAGAAAGTCCTTAAAACGCGTTTCTATGGTTTCTTTTTTAGAGGGTTGGTAAAATGTTATACAAACGAGGTGCAAAACATTTTGATGATCTCTATCCAATAATTTTAGAGCATAAGCTAGGATAAACTGTCTTATGTCTAGTTTCATGTTTATGGTAAACATATTCTATTCGTATCTTAACGTAAAATTTTATGACACCTAAGCAATACAGCTGACGTATATCCAGTAGATCCGCCTGCTGCAAGAGAATGTCTAAAGAGAAGGTTTTCTTTTTATTGTGAATCATTTTTATGGACCACTTTTGAACAGAAGTCAAGTTCTTTAAATGACATACAGCCGCACCACCCCACCCTAGATTTTTTAGACAAATGAGATTGTATAAGGGATGAGTTCAGGATTACATGATTCCCCTAAATATTTTACCAAATTACATTCATGTATTACATGATTATTGGTTATTTGTTATCTGTCCCAGTCTGGTTCATTATTTTTATAAATAGAGAAGGATATAAATTTGGTTTTGTCGTAATTTAATGTTAATTTGTTTTTAACAAACTAGGTATTAATTGTCTGAAAGTCTAATCCTTTCAAATTGTACCAAGACTTAGATTTACAAAATATAGCTGTATCATCTGCGTATCTAAAAATTTCTGCTTTTGTGTCAATTGTAAGTAGATCATTAATTATAAATAACAAACAATAACGGACCCAGAAAAGTGTCTTGTGGTACACCATGCTCAATTCTTCCCGCGTTGTTAGTTGCTATTAATGTTTCCCAAATTATATTGTGATCTGTTCTTAAGGTAACTTTTTAAAATACTAATTTGTTAAATATGATATTTAACTAAATAAAATACTAAAAAATTTAAAAAAACACAAATTGGCTGAATTTTTAGGATCTTTATTTGAAAGAGTTGTACCTTTTTACACTTAAGTTTAGCCAAAAGTTTCTTCAAAAAATAAGCCTACACTAGTGCTGTGAGTACTATTATTATAGTCTGTCCTGCTAGAGGTTTCCTGACAGTGACAGTTGTTATCTGTCATCTTAATTCACAGATACATTGTATTTTCTGTCATTTTTTGGATATCGTCTGTCGAAATTTTCCTTGACTTGTGCCAGACGTTAGTTCGTTTGGTCGCTTTTTTGATTGATTTAACCTATCTATTATTTTTGAGTAAACATTATTAATATTATACACCAATGCTAATAAAGAGATGATTTGAACTCATAATATTAGTTCAAAGTGGTTGTTTAGATATCCCTATTGAAATAATTATGTGCGATCCGACACATGCAAGATGTTTTATAACACAAATCAGGTATCCAGGGATGGCGATAAATATAGATATAGGCCAGTAGCCTGATAGCTATTTTAAATTCTTTCAGTTTAGGCAGATTTTTTACTGTATTTCTTCCACTTTTCTTTGAATTTCTGTAAATAAATGTAGGTCAGGAGGTAGATTACATCTCTTCGTAATTGGATGAAGTTTTAGTGCTATTTAAAAAGCATTTAAAAATCATGTTATAACCTCAAGTTATTTAGAGAACAATATGGTGACCTTTATGTACCAAAAATAAAATTTTCCAGCTGGAGAAAACAAATATTCGGTTGATTATTACCTACTTTAAAACACGCAAATTATCTTTATTTTGTTCTCTGATATTTCTTTGTTAATTTGTTTTTTTTGTATTCTAAAATCTGTAAAAGAAAAAAAAAATGATAATATTAAATTGCTTAGAAAATGTTATTCTTGATAAAATCTGTACAAAAATTATATGAAAATCAGAGTTTTTGTTAAATCAACGTTAGGCATATCAGCATATCACAGCTTGTCCTAAGATCACAGCCACCTTGATTTTATCCAATTACCATGATTTACTCAGAATAAATCATAAAAATGAAAATATCTAGAAAAGTCTTTGTTTGAGGGGTAGGCAACCTTAATAGTATTTTGAATTTTTAATTGTATTTAGAATTCTCCATTTTTTATTGAAACAATATACTGGTTGCTCTATTTAAAATAAAAGAGTAACTCATTTTTAAGAGTGGAAATGTTCAATATTAATTTTGCCTCACCTTGTATGACTTTTCGGACCGAGTTTAAAATTGATTTAAAGTATAATGAATATTTTCACTAAATATCAGGTTATACAGGGAAAATTACAACCAGGGCCGGCGGAAGGGCCCTGTTCTAGAGGCGCCACGACATCAACTAAAACATTTGAAAACAGTAAACTAAACAAATAGTAACGAATAACCAGATCCAATAATGAATCGATACTATCAATTTTCACATTAAAATATCATATCAGCAGTTACTACACAACATAGGGAAAATATCTGACTAAACATTATAAACACTACTATATCCTAGACCTATCCTATTATAGTTTACTGAAACTATGCTGAAAAAATCTTTAGCGCGAAGTTTTGGGAGAGTTTTGATTTCTTCTATTTTAGATGTTTTTGGGTGCTCTATTCGAAACTGGGATTTGCGAATTCTTGAACAAAATAAAATAAAAAAATATATAATAAATCAAAATGATTTCTTCGTGGTATTTTACTTATAACTCAAAAGCTATCAACTTTTTGTAAATAACCCTTCTTTCTATAATTAATTCTTGTTGTTATACATTTTTTCTATACAAATTGGTTTGGGTCAAGCCAGCAAAATTGACAGTTTTAGACTGACTATGACTGCTCAAAAACGCACTTTTTCTATTACCTACGCCCTTTATTTGTTATTAATGGTTGATATGCCCTAAAATTATATGAGGCAAAAATTTATTCGTAAGAAGCTGAAGGGGATCCTGATATCCTTATTATAAAAAAAGCTTATAAGTTTGCTTCATTAATTAAATTAATTTATTAACAGTAGTGGGAAAAGATATCAATATTTTGGTGGTTTTGATTGTTCCGGATTGAATATGTAGTAATACACGGAAAATGGTAATAGAATCGTAGAATTTTCTCATTTGAGCAAGATAAACCAGTGTGGCTGAACCTCATTTTGAAGCCGACAAAACTGTATCCGATCATATACCTACTATTGATAGTAGTACCTACTAGTGATTCTGCACGAAATAATTGTGAAAAAGAAATGGCACCCCAGGTATATTATATATATATTTAAATGGCACCCCAGGTATATTTCTAATTCATTACATATGTCAATTTTTTACATTTTCGCATATGGTTTATTTGAAATTGTAACATGCGGTTCATAAAGACAATTTGACTCGAAATACCAAGTGTGTGGTACCAAAATTATTCGTAAAACTGTGGTATATTCTTTTTCCAAATATGCTAATGAGCCGCCACCCTTGTTCAATTTGAAAAAATTGAGATATTATTAAAATATGATTAGGACATCTTTTAACCGACCAGGACAAGACACAAAAAACATTAAACAAATCTATTTTTCCAAGACTTTTTAACAGAGTCATGGTACTCTTGATTGGAATTTAAACTATAACATATATTTTTTGACCAAATATATCAAATGTTCTAATTTATATCATATACTAACATACCAAATCTCGGATTTTTTATCTAAAAAAATAAAAAAGTAATAGGGGTAAGTCACTTTCGAGGCGCTCTCGGTATAGAAAAAAACGACAACTGCAGACTAAAATTGAACGAAGAGAAGAATTTTGAAGTATCTTTAAGTGAACATTTATTGTTAAAGTAGCATAAACATGCTTAGTTGTAGATCAAGTATAGTACTGAAAGAAAGTGGGGGGGGGGCGCCAGATAGGGGCGCCAGATTGCAATTATCCATTTATTTGGAGATTTACTGTACTTATTTTTAATGATTCTCAAAGTTTCTTCTAAAAAAGTAAATTATACCAAACATAT